ATTCTTATTAAAAAAAAAAAAAAAAGTTAAATTTTTTAACAAAATATCTTACCGAGTCTTTATCAAGTACTTTCTTACACCGGTTTCTCTCCCTCTCATCGTTCTCGTCCGTTCCCCCGGATTTTATTCCCCGTGTTAAAGTTAAAGCCAAGGGTACCCGCGACCAGTCCACACTTATCCGGGGTTCGTGACGGCTGCTGCTCTCATTGTTCTTAAAAAAAAAAAAAAAAAAAAAAAATTTAATTAATTTCAAATCTAAAAAATATTTTTTTAATAAATTAAAAAATTTTTTTGTGGTGTCTAATTAAGTACTTATAATTTATTATTATTTATATTGAATTAATTAATTAATTAATAAGTCCTATTAATAGTGTAAAATTAAGTATATGTGAGTATAAAAAAAAATTTATATAAAAATCTAAAGTGAAGTAAAGAAGAAAGAGGAAAAAGGCGAAGGATCGAGTCTAACAACGGGGTCACTACCCTTGGTCTGGTGGCAAGGTCAACTGCAAGATCGTTCATCTTACTAGACTACTACTTAAACCTCTGTAATTTATATATAAATATATACATATTTATTTATAAATAAAAATCAGGCGATGGTTCCGTGATTTTTGGACTGCAAGATTTAAAAATACGTAAGTTATTTTTAATTGATTAGTATAATATTATTAATTAATGACAATAATTTATAGTGTAAGAGGATAAAATTAAAATAAAAATTTTCTTTATACTAAAAATGAAGCTTTTTTGCTACATTGACGGTTATAATCAATGTAATTATTAGTAAAATCGAGTTAAAATGCAACTAAAAAATTGTTTATAGAAAATTTCAAAATTTTCACTGCATTGACACTCATAATCAATGTAATTTTTAGTCAGTGTAATTATTAGCATCATTACATTGAAATTTTAAAATGAAATTACTATTGTACAAAAATAATGTTTTGCTGCATTGATACTCAATATCAATGTGATTTTTAGTCAATGTAATAATTAATAACACCACGTTAAAATTTCAATAAATCATTGTCTTTATACAAAAAATAATTTTTACTGCATTGACACTCATAAATAATGTAATTTCAAATCAATGTGCTGATTAGTAAAATCTAGTAAAAAATTACACTTAAAATTTTTAAATTATTATCACTGCATTGATACTCATATCATAATCAATGCAATTTTTAGTAAATGTAATAATCAATAACATTACATTCAATTTTCAATAATAAATTGCACTTGTACAAGAAATAATTTTTCGCTGCATTGACACTTACAAGCAATGTAATGGTTAGTCAATGTAATAATTAGTAACATCACATTGAAATTTCAATAGAAAATTGCATGTGTACAAAAAAAGATGTTTTGCTGCGTTGATACTAAAAATCAATGTCATTTTATTCAGTATGCTGATTAGTAAAATTAAACTCAAAATCTTGTACCTGAAATGTCAAGTTTTTATCACTTGATTGACACTTATAATCAATGTAATTTTAATCAATGTAATAATTAGTAGTAATACATTGAAATTTCAATAAAAAATAATTTTTGGCTGCATTGACGCTCAAAATCAATATAATTTTTTATCAATCTAATGAATATAAACAATTATATTAACGTATCTTAAGGAGTATATTTCAAAGAGCTCTTTTATAAACAAAATAACATTTTGTATCTGCATTGACGCTAAAAATCAATGTAATCTTCAATCAATCCATTATCCATTATTTTATGGATTACATTGAGTCAAAAATTATTTCATCATTCAAAAACGGTATATTAAATATTATTACTTTCATATTTGTTTTGAATTTTGCGCTTTTTGAATTAAAAATATTTTCTTACAAGAAATAAGACTTTTATCACTACATTGACGCCATAAATCAATGCATGATTACCTTTACTCAATTTTGAATTTACTGACGGCAATATCTATTATCAGTGTCCTATTGGGATTGAAATTGAAAGTTTCTTTATATTTTAAATAAAATTTTTAGACTGCATTGACACTCAAAATCAACACATTATTTTTTTGACATTATTTTTGGAACTACTGGACCGATTTTCATGAAATTTTGATATGCTTTTCTAGAGAATAAAATACATTAATAATTACAATAAAAATAACAATAACAATAATAATAATAATAATAATAATAATAAATTAATATATAGTTACATTTCATTGCTTACAAATAAACTTAATTTAAATTGTTTAATTAATTTTAAAATTTTATTATTATTATTATTATTATTATTATTATTATTATTATAAAAAAATAAAAATCTAAATTTCATCATTTTAAATTACTTAGATCAAAATTCTAAAAATAATACAAAACTATTAATAAAAAAAAAAAAAAAATTGTAAAGAAAATAAAAAGTCATTCCACCGAAACAAATAACCATGAACCAAAAGTTACCTTCTCTATTACATTACTATTACTTCTATGACATAACATAAAAATAAAATCTAAAATAAAAATAAAAAATCTAACACAGTTTATTACATTACATTGCATTATATGTCAATGTTAATGTCAATGTCAACGAACTGTAAAACGCAATCAAGTATAAAAACATAAAACTAAACGGACATGACCATGTATGAGCAAGTAGAAAAATTAACTATTTTTTTACAATTTTCCTCATCATTCATTTCCTCTCATCTCATCTTGGATAGCATAATAATATAATATAATCTTGGAGATATATGTAAATATAATATACCTGTACTCACTTTATTTTTATTTTATTTTATTTAGCTTCAACTAGCTTAATATCCTGGAGATTTTTACCACATGTTACACTCTTATAATAAGTTTAAATAAGTGAATGAATTCGCTTAACGGTATTGAAAACGGTCCAGAGTTAAGGCTCATATTCGCTTCAGTCAATAATATATATATATATATATACCTTCTTCCGCGGGTAGTCTCATTATCAAAATTCGAGCCAAATTATCCTACAGCGCAATTTTTTAAATTACATTATTGTTCACTATTATTAAATATACTTACGGTTATTTTTATGTAATTTGTTTCATTTTTTTAAAAGTTTAGTGTGTCTTTCTTTAAAATGGAATATTGGCCACAATATCAAAAATACAGAAAAAGAAAAATTTCTTAACTGAAGAACAAAATTCTTGGAAATTCAAGAAAATTTGTCGGGTGCCTATAGGAATACCGAAGTTGTGTTGGCCGAAGTACAAATTTTTCTTTAAATTCTATTCTTGGTAGAAGTCATTTTTTCTTAATTCATATTTATATTTGATCAAGGCTTTTAGACTTTTAGACTTTACACGGTAAGTACAAGATGACACTGGATATCATCCCAGATTACACTGAGCGAAATTTTTTTTAGATAGTAGCTAGTATAATCCAGATTACAATGAGTATAATCCAGATGTCACACAGTATAATCTGGGATGATATCCAGTGTCTTCTTGTTCTTTCCGTGTAGAGAAGCAGCGCCACTTACTTCAGCTGAGAAAAAAATTTTGTTGGAATAAGTGAAATTTCTTGTGTGAAAAAAAAAATTTTTTTTTTCGCTCAAGAAAATAATTAAGAAGAAAAATATTTTCTTGGCTCAAGGGAACCTTTTTTTCTGTGAATAAAAAAAGTCTCTTATGATTTTTTCATATTTTCAATTCTTATCTTAAAAACTAAAAATCTTCAAATTTTAACTTATTTTTAAAAAATTCTGGTTAAAATATAAAAATTATAAAAAAATCATAAGACACCTTTTTTTTTTAGAGAATTAAATTTTCTAAAAAAATTAATTTGAGTAGCATAAAAAAATTCTGTATTAGCCCGAGTAATTTCTTCCGTAAAAAAAAAATAAAATGAACGACCTAACGGTAGCAAATTTGTCAAGGAAGGTATAAATAAATAACTGTATAAAAGAGCGCCGCGAAAAAAATCCTCAGATTTAAATAAAATCTAAAAAAAGGAGATGATAAAAAAAAAAATACCCGAAAGTCGGAAGGCTCCAGACGGTGACGTAAGAATTACAGGCCCTAGAGATATATCAGGAGTAATTAAATGAATAATGCCTACGGACATACCTTTTGAGCCGGATTTATAAATATATATTAGAAGAACTGCCTAAAAAACCGGTTGTAGTTGGTTAACTGGTTCCTCAAACGAAAAACGGGTTCGTTGACTTTGGAGTCTCTGGGTCAGTAGACTTGTCCATTTCTTTATCACACATCACATTTTATATGTGCGATGCATGCATTACAAATTAACATCGGTGACCTGAAAAAAATTTTTTTTTATTAGAATACTAGGAACCGTGCAGTCACTATGTGACTGCTGTGACTTGTGAACATAACTAATCAAAATTTTACTTTATTAAGTAATGAATTTTGTTAAATTGCACAGTACTTTCTTAAATATTGACGTTTTTAAAGATATAAGCTCATCCTGATGTTATACTCATCAAGCGCTTTCATTTGAGTACCTACATGCATTTTTGATATATTTCATATATATACATATATGTAATATATGTATATAAATATATAAATATATGAAAAATTGATGTGGGTATTCAAATGAAAGGTCTCGATGAGTGTATCATCAGGATGAGCTTATATCGTTAAAAATGTCAATATTTCACAAGATACATGGTCATTTCTTAATTATGTATCTAGAGACAAAGTATTTACAAATGCAGCCTTAATACTTAGCATAGTAAATTTACAAATTAATGTCAGGACCTTTGCTATGACACTAAAAAAACCGATTTTATCATATGACTATCCTGGAAACAAAATTTTTCTTATTTTTTTAATAATATAGATAATAAAATAAAAAGAAAAAAAAAATAATGTGAGACCTAAGACTTAAAGAGATTACTCGGTCGTACGTGGTTAGTCTTCCCAGGCATTTAAATTCCGCGAGTGTCCTGACAATCACAACTGAATTTAGAACATGCCGTGGGTGAATTATTAAACACCTGTACTGCTATTATATGGATAATATTGTAATACTACCTCCGAGTTTTTCATTCATTCTTCATTTCTGGTTGCTCTTCTAAAGGTTTCAGTTCAGACATGGACAAAAAAGTCTGGGTGATTCTCGCTTCGGCGATCCTCTGTCAATGGACGCACGCCCTTCCGGTTCCTGAGGAGGATGACTCACTCATCAGTAACAGGTAATATTTTTGGTATTTACGGGAGTGGTTATTTTTTTTGGTAATTCTTTTTCACGGTCACCTGATTTTTGTTAAAGTTAAAAGATTATTTTTCGGTTCAATTGTATACTATAGATAATTTTATTTTTTACAAAAGAAAAGTGTCTTATATTTTTATATTTTCAATATTTAATTCAAAATTTTGATTTTTTAATTTTATGACCAAGTTTTTTTAACTTGTTAATTTTTGGATAAAATATTGGATTTTTGTAAGAAATTGAATTTCCTTTAAAAAAAAGATCTCTTATAATTTTTTCATATTTTCAATCCTTAATTTCCAATTTTAATTTTTTTTTTTTAGTGAATCTAAATTTTTACAAGATTTTTGATTGGTTTTTAAAAATTGAAAATTTTGGCCAAAATATTTTATACAAAGAAAATCATAAGAAACTTTTTTTCTAGAGAATTTAATTTTTTACAAAAAAAGTATCTTATGATTTTTTGATATTTTTAATCCTTAACTCCCAATTTAAATTTTTGTAAGAAAGTGACACCAAAAATAGTAATTCCAAATTTTGACTAACTTTTTTTACTTAAGTTTAAAAAATTCAAAATTTTGGCCAAAATATGATACAAAAAAAAATTATAAGAATCCTTTAATTGTAAAGAATTTAATTTATAATTTTTGTAAGTGACACTAAAAATAGTAACTTCAAATTCTAACTTGATTTTTAAAAATTGAAAATTTTGGCCAAAATATTAAAGATAAAAAAAATCATAAAAAACTTTTTTTCTAGAGGATTTAATTTTATACAAAAATGGTATCATATGATTTTTTAATATTTTTAGTTCTTAACTCACAATTTTGATTTTTGTAACGCCAAAAATAGTAATTCCAAATTTTTACTTAAATTAAAAAAAAATTCCAAATTTTTACCAAAATCTTAGACACAAAAAAATCATAAGAAATCTTTTTTATAGAGAATTTAATTTTATACAAAAAATGTCTCCTACAACTTTCTCATATTTTCAATCCTTAACTTGAAAGTGACAGCAAAAATATTAATTCCAAATTTTGACTAACTTTTGTATTTAATTTTAAAAAAATTCAAAATTTTGGCTAAAATATTAAAGATACAAAAAAATCATAAGAAACCTTTTTTGTAAAGAATTTAATTATATAAAAAAAAGATTTCTTACAACATTTTCATACTAAATCCCTAACTCCCAATTTTGATTTTTGTACACCAAAAATAGTAATTCCAAATTTTGACTAACTTTTTTATTTAATTAAAAAAAAATTCCAAATTTTGGCCAAAGTATTAAAGATAAAAAAAAATCATAAACCTTTTTTCTAGAAAATATAATTTTTTACAAATAAAAGGTCTCTTACAACTTGTTCATATTTCCAATCCTCAATTTTCAAATTTAAAATAAATAAAAAAACTTTTTTCCAGAACCGAAACATCGATGACGGCAGGTGAAGAAAAAAAAGACGGAAAAGCAATCTCACCTGTTTCAAGGCTGCCGACATCACCAGTAGACCTTCTACGGCCTGATAAAATATCCTTCTACACATTCGACAGCAACGGGCAGGTGGTGCTGAAGCGGATGACTGAGAAGGAGATCCAGAGTCTGATAGCCGCCGGAGGCGGTCAATTACCAGTAGCTATTTCCGAGCCGCAGAAGATAAGCGCGTCAACTGGAACAAAGGTAAGAAAAAAAAAAAAAAAAAAAACCTAAATAATAAAACCCAAAATTCCGCTTTCAGATTTCCGATGTCGTCCAAAATGTCCAAAAAGTCCTGGAAGGAGAACTGAACAAGCCTCCCCAGGAGATGACAGCCATGCCAACAATTCCCGGGCACGCAAATTCAGAATGGAGCAGCATCTTACCTTCAATTCTCTCCGGAGATTCCGACTCCGAGCCAATTCAATTCGTCGAAGACTCTGAAATCATTGAAGAGTCTGAGAAACCGATGATCCAAGTCCCGGTGATCACCATTGAGGAACCGGTCCACCAGTACGAGACTCCAGAAGAGAAGCCAGTCTTCCAGATCCTCAACACTATTCCTGCCGACAAATTCAACCAAGATAATCAAAATTTACCTTCTGAAGTAATAATTCCCGTTGAAGCTAAGCAACCTCCTGAAGAAAGTAAGAATGATACCTGGAGCGTGGTCTCCGAGACTCATTCAACTTCCGTAAAGGTCTCCGGGCAAGATGAGGTCAAGATCCACCAGAAAATTCCTCCAGAAGTTCCATTTAAGGAACAAGTTAAGCCCACTGAAGCTTCCACGTCTTTAGCTCCAGTTTTGACTACTCTAAAAATCACGACTAAGGCTCCTGCTTTTGATAGTTCTACAACGGAAAAATCTCACCTGGCCAATGAAGTGTCTTCAACAGCTGCAACGCCAGCCAGTGAAGAAACTCCGCAGAAAAGTCAGACAGAAGCGCTACCAACAGAACTTACTGATTCGATTACTAGCATGATCAACCAGGTTTCTGATGTTCATCCTTCGATGATGATGGACGAAAAGTCCAAGGTACCTGAAGCTGGCTCTGGAGATGGTTTGATTGATGCTGCTGAAGCCTTGGAAAGCACTACTCCGGTTATTAAGAGTGTTACTACCACAGAAAAGGCTGAAATTGATGATTTTGAATCAAAAACTGAACCAGTTTCTAAAGCTGAAACTTCTACGTCTAAAATTGAAGTTACAACATTAAAAATTGAACCTTCAACACCAAAAATTGAAGCTTTGACAAAAATAGAGTTTTCAACATCAAAAATTGAAGTATTAGATTCAAAAATTGAACCTTTAGAGCCAAAAACTGAATCTTCAACATCAAAAATTGAAGTATTAGATACAAAAATTGAACCAACAACAAAAACTGAATCTTCAACATCAAAAATTGAAGCTTTAGAACCAAAAGAAGCAACAACATCAGAAGAACTTACTACCATAACTTCAAAAATTGAATTATCAACAGAAAAAACTACTCCAAAGCCAGAACCAGAAAAAACATCAATTACATCAGAATTGAATGCAGTATTATCAACAGAAACTTATCAGGACATTACAGAGAAGCCAATTTTAAGAATAAACATCACCGAAACAAAACAAGACCTAAAGATTCCTTCAAATGTCTCAGTGACGGAATCAACAATGGTGCGAATAAAGCTAACTGATCCTTTGAACAAGGTCCATGAAATTTTAGAGTCTTCGGCAGTGCAGCCGACTACTCCAGAAGTAGAACCCCTAGCACTTCCAACAACTGAAGTGTCTGCTAATGGACTTGCTAGTGGGCTGATTGCTGGGTTCACAGAGCCTCAGGGAACCGAGATGTCTATGGAGATGATCCAATTCGACCAGCTTCCTATGATCAGTGTCTTAAAGCTGGAGAATTCATCCCAAGCTTCAACAGAAACTGTGCCTAAAGTAGAATTGGTTACAGAAGCTGATCCAGAGTCCAAGACACCAGAGCCACAAGTTCGGAAGGATCAGAAGAAAGAAACTAGTTTGGAGAAGACTGTAACCAGTGCAACAGAAAAGGAGCCAGAAAGGTGGACGCTGATTCCCCAAACGAGTCCTAAGCCTAAAGAACCTGTTAGAACTGAAGCTCCACCCACTGGGAAAAGACCCAGTGTTATGCAACCCAGCATTCCTGGAAAGCCAGAGCCTCCAAGGTCACCAGATCCACCTTCTCAACACATTCCGCTAGATCATTCCAAAACTACGCCTGGTTTGGATTCAAGTGTCTTGAATTTAGAGCCAGATGTATTGTATTTTTCCAACTTGTGCAATGACCTGGCATTCAATTTGTGGTCAGCGGTGAACCAGGGACTCAGCAAGTCAAGATCTCTTGCAGTTTCACCCTTTGGAATGACCAGCTTGCTGGCGATGATCTTCCTTGGTGCCAGAGGCCCCACTTCCAATCAAATGAATGATGTTCTGAAGCTGGATGACATCACGACCTTCAATCCTCACCTGATCTTCCAGAATGTCACTGACTCAGTTGCCTCCAGGCGGAACCAGGGAATCGCCAATGCTGTCTTTGTCAGAGAGCTGTTCGCTGACAAGCTCAAGGTCAACAAGCTGATGACCTTCTACAAGGAACAGGCCCAGAAGTTTTACGATGGGATCGTTGCGGAGGTTAATTTCTCCTTTGTCAGCAACGCGGTCAAGCGCAGGACTAATTTGCTGATCAGAAAGCAAACTGGTGGACGGATCAGGGAGTTTGTCAAGGACAACAATTTGGTTCCGCTCAGGTCGCCTTTGGCTGCTGTTTCTGCTAATGTCTTCCAGACGGATTGCAGCTCTGGTAATGCGACTTCTGAAGGTCGTGATGGAGAACTGTACTTCGCAGTGGCGCCTACTGTTAAGCTGAGGAAGCTGGTGCCAGTTCCTGCTACGCTTTGGAAGGCTGGGGTTCTTGCTGGGTATGAAACTAGTCTTGATGCCACGGCAATTGCTCTAGGAGGGCTTGATAAAATGGTCTCCGTGATATTTGTGATTCCTGGATCGCAAGGTGGGTTAGCTACTGGAGATAACTTGGAGAAACTTGAGGGTAGGATTGTTAATGGTGCTCTGCATGATGGCGCTTGGAATAAACTGCTCAAGGTGATTATTCCAAGGCCGGGTTTGGAGCTTCAAGTACCCAAGTTTAGTCACAAGAGTATTATTAATTCGACTGCTGCGTTGAAGAATATGGGCTTGGAGGATATTTTTGAGAAACACGCTAATTTGAGGGGAATCAATGATATTGGCAAGGATTTGCATCTTGCTGATGTTTTTCAGGTGAGTTGGATATTATTTTGTTTATACCCAGGTAACATGTGCTTGAGCAAGATTTAGGTGCCAGTGTCTTCAGCAAAACCCCTAGTTGTTAGTGTCTTTTTCTACTTATGGGTCTTGCTCAAGTTCATGTAAAAGGAAGTGGTTCAAGATTTATATATAACTAGCTCAAGACATCTTGTGCAAGAATATGAGACAAGTCTAATGCAAGGTGCATTGAAAAACTTTCTGACGCATTTTTTGAATCAGAAACTCACAACAGACACTTACCCATGACTTGCATTATATATTTTATAGCACTTTTTCCCCTCCACTACTTGAAGATCTATTGATTCAGTGGTGGTCATTTTAAAATAATTTTGTCTTGATCGATCAAACAGTAGGTCTATACTCTAAAAGGTTAAGCTGAATGAGATCCACTGATCCTATAGTAAATATAGGAGGGGTAGAATGATAAGAACGGTCATTCGAAAACATTTGATCTTGAGCAGATCTTGAGCAAGTCTTGCACAAGTATATTCAGCATGCTTCTGGTCTCAGTCTTTCTCAAGAATTGATATAGTTAGTTTATCGATAAGCATCTTCAGATTTTCTCAATTTTCTTCCACAATTCTTGAGCTATAATCTGGCCCAAAGTTCTTGTACAAAGCTTGTTCAAGACTTGTCAATTGAATTTGCTACAAGTATCTGGAGCAAGACCCATAGGTAAAAAAAGACACTAACAACTATCGAAATTGAGACCAGACTTGCTCAAGCCTTGAAAAAGATTGCTATAGTGTTTTCTTATAATAAAAAAATAATTTTTAAATTTGCCTAGGTAATTTTTTCATTTGAAAGTTACCTTTTTGAATTTGAGTTCCCGCGCGATAGTGACGTAGTACTATATCCGGTCCGCAACGCCATCTTACAAAAAATTTAAGAACTAAATTTATATTCAAGTGTGTTTTTATGATTTAAAATCATAAATTGTTTCTTTTTTTACACTAAAATTTTAATTTAAAAAAAGAAATTGTTATAAAAATTATTTAAATTTTTTTTGATCTGAAAAATATCAAAATAAAATAATTTTGTTCGTTTTTCAGATGAATTTATTCAGCACTTGCGGGGATGAAAATTTCCTAGCAGGCAAGCACCACGAAGAAGTCTACCCGGCTAGCTCGCAAAGAAACGCGCGGTCTGAAGAAATCACCGAAGAAAATTCAACGATCGGTCAAGAAAAAACTGATACTTACTACGAAAGCGAGGCAGAACGGATAGCGCGCTTCACTCGTCAAGTCGACAATGAAAAGCCGAGGTTAAAGCTTGATAGGCCGTTCTTGTACTTCGTCAGACATAACCCCACTGGATTAATACTCTACATGGGTCGCTTTAATCCGCGACTCATTTCTTAAAATCGCTTTTTTATATTAATTAAAATAACATAAAATTATCAATTCCTTGGAATGAATCTTGCTCACACTCTGATAGAAAAATAACAATTTTAATTTTTGAAGTTATATCTTGATCATTTTCCAAACTATTGTTGATAAGTTTGGCCGATGATCGAAATATTAGACAATATTAATCTTAATATAATTATATTCATTAATACTAGCAAATATATAAATTAATTAACCATAAAGTATTAATAATTAAAATTTAACTATTATTTTTTAAGTTTTTAAATAAATGTAAATAAAATAAATTGTAATCTGGGTATGAATAAAAAAACTATCATTAAAAAAAACTAAAAATTAATTTTTAAATTAATTATTAACATTTTTGAGGAAATTTCCGAAAGTAGATTGAATTTACGAATGTTCAGTTGTTAAAATTTGACTAAATCGCTTGGATCTCCTTAATTTAATATTTCTACAACGCCAACATAAATATTTCTAAATTTCGCCGTAAGGTGGCGCCACTTAACAAATCTAATGTCACTAGCGCTAAAATTAAAATTCTAAAGAAGAAATTTTAAATTGAAAAAATCAGTTGTTAAATAACATTTTCCAAAAAAAAATCAATTGCTCTAATATATAATTAATATCTTCGTAATAATTCAATAAAATCAATTCATTGAACCGATAGTAAGTTGAGACACGTTACGAAATTTTTTAACCTCAAAGCGTATATCTGGATTAAACAATTCATTTTTTTGGACAAAAGCCACCATGTTCAGAGCCAAATCATCAACGCAGACATTTTTGGTCGGATTAGTATGAGTGTGATATTGACACTTCGTAGGCTTATCCACCATTTTGTGAACATATCCAAAATCTTTCAAACAAACTATCTCATGCGGAAATTTATTAAATGTCTTGAAGATATTCTTCTCATGCAAGCTGCTTACATGAACAGTCGAATTCTTTTTAAAAGCCAAAATGCCAAATAAAGTAACCTGGATTTTCGACACAGGAATGAAACCGTCGTTCCATTTTGTTCCGTACTTATCATAGACATTAACATCATACGCAGCCCGAACTTCGGCCATTTTGTCTGCAGCTATGTTAGCCGGCTTCACGACGAAACACTGATGATAAATAATGACTCCTCTGCTATCCAAGCCGTAGATACTCAGTTCTTTGAAGAAATATTCGCTGGATCCGTAGTACCCGTTGAAATGAATCACCAACTCCATGCCATCCGACATTTTGAGCGATTCTATTTGAACATTGTAATTGTCCACCAACCAATTTGCCATTTCGACCGCGTTGGTCACCGCACAGTAGTTTTTACCAGGATTTTCATGGTAAGGACAAGTTGTCGACACTATTGGGTCCTTGAGGTAACCTAATTCTTCTAGGTACTCGATGTTGGAAAAGTTTTTTTCAAGAAACTGGGTTAGTAATTGGTGATAGTATTTGTTTCTTAAATAAACTGTGTGCATTTTTGAAATAAGCTTCATTAATTTCCGGCGGAATTGATCTACTTTGTAGGAACCCGCTGATAGCTTCACGCCGTAGACATGTTTGAAGGTTTTGTACCTTGAATCTGTTGTCGGGTCGATGTAAACCGGCAACTTCGTTACGATTGTCCTGGAATATTTTATGTTACTTTCATGTATTTCGCACTGATAGTACTCGATTATGTAGAATTTTTTCTTATAGATTAAGCCGCTGAAATCGATAACTAACTTCATTTTTAGTTTTATTTTATATATTTTTTTCTTTCTCTAATATATAAGTGAAAAATAAAATTTTTTTTGTTGTTTTTAAGTTCAGGTTTGACCGATAGATGGCGCTGAGATAAGCTATGACGGCTGTTTTATAATGCTATTTTTTTAATAATATTATTATACATTAAACATATATGTATGTTTAATTGCACGCCTCATAGCGCGAAGCGCGTGAGGTTGTGCTTTATACTCGACTCGTTAAGATCAATCAAGCAATTTTGTGATCTTTAAATGCCTCTATTGCAACCATATTACACTTATACAATGATATAAGTAGATGTACACCAAAAAAATACTTAAATTAAACCATCTGTTACTTTCTAAAATCATTTCATGTTGCTATTTTGAAAAAAAAAAAAACGTTTTAAAAAAAATTTTACGTGGACGTCCGGATGTCACCCCATTTTGGATGTACCAATGATTACTCCCGAACAAATTGATATTTCAAGACCGAATCTTTTTTATTAGCTTAAGAATTCGATGAACTGGGTCCGTATTGCATATCAGTGGCCTAGCTTACGTATTTTTTTTTTAAATTGAATTTTTATTAAAATTTACTACGATACAACCGTACAAAGCTAAACGAACTTTCCTTATTTGTATTTCCAAAAAATAATTATTAAAAAAATTACATTTTTAATTTTTAAAAAATTTCTAAACGTAAATTTATTTTGATAATTTTTTTTGCGATTATTAATTTTTTAAAAAAATTATTAAATTAATTTTTATATAATTTATTTGTTAAAAAAATAATTATTAAATTAATTTTCATTTAAATTTTCGCGGTATAAAAAAAACAACCTTTTGCGCATGCGCAACTTTTCCCGCACAATTGCCTACAGCGTTGCCTATATTAAAACCCGCTTACTAAACTTATTGATCCACTCCAGGTGCGTACATTAATTCCGAACTTAAAAAAAAATAACCTAGCCCTAAAAGCTGTAAAAAAAAAACCCCAAAACTTTTGAAAGTATCAAAAAAAAAATAAGTAAAAATAATTCTTACCTTAAATAGAACAAACAGTAGTTTATTAACCCGACTAATCCAGAGAAACAGCAATGGCGTCATTTGAGGAACATGAAGGAACTCTTTTTCTCAGACGCACCTGGTAGCTTGATTTTGATTGGCTGTAATAACCGGCGTCACTAACTATTACCCAGAATGCTTAGTAACGCAGCCGCATTTTCAATCGACAATTGTCGTGTCATTCTTCTCCCTCAGCTCGTCGCCCAGTTCAGACGCGTTTAGTAATTTTTCTCGTGTACAGTAGTTTTATTTCTCCAAAAAATAGTAACTCAGTGCTAGGTTATTTAAATTAATTTAATTATTTATAATATACACATTATATATTTTAATATTTATTAAAATTAAATATTAAAAAATAATTATTAAAATGGCTGATCAAGATAACAAAGATTTTACCGAAGATATTACTGATCAAAGTTATGATCAAAACGGTGATGCCCCGCAAAACGAGACTGGAAATGGCGGTGATGCCGGTGACGCCAATGAGAACGGCCAGGATTCACAGGATGACAAGTAAATTATTTTTTATTACTTGAAATTTTTTTTCTTTTATATTTATTTATTCATTTCTTATTATTGTTTTTAATTCACTCTATTTATTTTTAATTTTTTAATTTTTTCCTCCAAGCGCTCACTTTTATTTTTTCAAAATGGCGCGGATTAAATAACATTTTGTTCATTCATTTAATCCACTTCCATCCGAATTTTTGGTTTATTATTATGGAGTTTGTTTAAATGTTATTTTTTTTTTTTAATATTTATTTTTTAAGTTTTTGTGTATTTTTTGGTGATAATTTATTAAATTTTTTTTTTTGGTGTGCTTAATTGTCGCGTGTACGCCGACGCCGGTCAGAATGACGCTCATTTTTTCACAAAATGGCCGACGGCATTTTCGTGATTTATATTATTAAATAAATTTAGCACTTTTTTTTCTGAAAATTCTTGAAAATGAAGTTAGCTGACATTTCAAAATTTTTAGAAATTTTTTATCAAAAAAATATCAATTAAACAATTAAAAAAAAAATATCACATGTCAAAAACTTGAAAAACTATAAGTGCAATTTTTTATAAATTTTTTTTTAGTTTTAATTTAATTAAAAAGAAAAAATCAAAAATTTTTAGACGTCTGCTAACTTCAGTGTCATGAAAATTCATTTTTTTTTTTTTAACTGTAAAAATTAGACAATTTTTACGAAATTCGAAATAAAATTATTTTAAATTAAAAATTGTAATAATAACAATCAGACAATTTTTAAGAATTTTTTCTTTAACTTAAAAATTGTTTTTCTAAAAATTTTATTTTTTTTTTAATCAAAAATCAAAATTTGACCATTTTTACAAATTTTTTGTTTTAAATTCAAAATATAATTATTTTTAATTGAAAATACAAACTTGACAATTTTTAATAATTAATTTTTTTTTTTAATTTTCAATAAAATTATTTTTAATTAAAAATAATCATAAAAATAAAAATCTGACAATTTTTAAGAATTTTTTTTTTAATTCATAAATTCTTTTCTAAAAATTTAATTTTTTTTAACTAAAAAATAACATTTAACAATTTTTAAGAATTTCTTTTTAAATTCAATAATTATATTTAATTTGTTTTAACCAAAAATCAAAATTTGACATTTTTTAAAAATTTTTATTTTCAATTTCCAAATATAATTATTTTTAATCAAGAATTATAAAATTAAAATCTGTCAATTTTTATGAATTTTTTTATTCATCCAAAAATTTTTTTCTTAAAATTTTATTCACTTTTTTTTTGTAATTAAAAATCAAAATCTGACCATTTTTTTATTTTGAAAATTTCATTTTATTTTTTTTACCTAAAAATCAAAATTTGACAATATTTAAGCATTCTTTTTCCACTTCTAAATGTAATTTTTTATAATTAAAAATCTTAAAATTTTTATGAATTTTTGTTTTTAATTAAAAATAAAATTATTTTAAATTAAAAATCTGACAATTTTTATAATGTAAAAAAATTGATTATAAGAAAAATAATTACAAACTCCATAAATAATTATTTCCAAATTTTTCTTTTATTTAAAAAAAAAAAAAAAAAAATGTAATTTCTTACCAGAAAAAACTCCAAAAAAAAAAGAAAAAATTAAAGGTAGTATTAAAAAAACATTTCCAAAAATTTCTCAGAAATAAAAAAACTTATTAAACTAAATAAAATAAAATATAAAAACTTGCATGTGTCTACTTAAGTTAGTAATAAAATATCACTAATAACCTAATCTTTGATTTCTATAAAAAAAAATTTTTTCAGCATAATCACAACAATATTAAATAAATCCCTCGCGTTGAAAAAAAAAATTGTAGCACTAATTAAACAAATTATAATAGAAAACTGACCAGCCGAAAAAAATTTTTGTTTTGTTTGTTTAAATTTTGTATTGCAGCTATGGTAAATCGATTGACTATTTACAAATGAGTAATTTTAATTAAACTAAACTCATGAGTAGAGTGAGATGAATAATGACAAGAGTAATAAAATCCATTTCAAAGTCTTCAAATAAAAAATCGTCTTCAGGTCTTCAAGCACTGGATAAAATATATAAATAATAACTAAATATTAAAACTAAATAAAAATAAATTAATATAAATGTCAGAGTAGTTGCTAAATAAGTTGCTAAAAAGTATTGAACCAGATATACCAACAAAAATAATTTTCCTGCTGGATCACGCAGTAGAGTCTCTATAAAAAATTTTGGAAAAAAAAAACATTTGTTAGCACAAATTGGGTCTAAATGTAAAATATCAAAATATCAATGTAAAGAGAATTGAATTGAATTGAATTGAATGATTTAATGATAATGGTCCATACGAACTACGTCTAGGTTTTGAATCTAAAAAACATTAATCCACATTACAACACACAGCAGACAGGAGTGCAATTAACCGAACGTTTATGTGGCTTGATCTGCAGGTAAAGCAAACAGATCCAGATACAAAAATAATTGGATGATGAAATTGATGATGATGATGATGATGATGATGGTGGTGGTGATGATGGTGATGATGTTGAATTATCGATGTGTGATCTCATCTGCTACTACGTGGTGGATACTATCAATCAATTTGACAATACTCTGGAGTATCATGACTGGTGCCTACGGTATTTATCACACCAGCCCTATGACGATTTATTGCAAACGAATCGATTTCTATTTATTCGAACAAAATCTATTTCAATCACGAATTTATATATAAAATATATTCACTTTATTGTCTCTTCATGCCCGAGTCATATATATTTATATATACATATATATATATAGTCAATTCGAGATCTACTTTAATAAATTGTTAATCAGTCAATCGAAGTTATACATACATTCCAATAGTCGAGAATTGTTGTTGCGTAGTATTATTATTATTACTATTATTATTGTTGTTGTTGTTGTTAGTGTTATTATTATTTTTATAAAATATTTTGTTTAAAATAAGCTGTGCCATGTAATTATTCATTGTTTTTAATGTAAAGTTTTTTTAAATTTGTAATTTTTAGTGAATGTCGGAATTACTGTGGATATTTTTTTAATAGTGACAATTTTTTGGTTTTTGAAAAAAAAAAAAAAATTTTTTTTGAAAAAATATCTCGACACATAATTAAGAAATGATCTTGTATCTTGTGAACTATTGACATTTTTTATGATATAAGCTCATCCTAATGTTACACTCATCGAGACCTTTCATTTGAGTACCCACATCAATTTTTCATATATTTTATATATTTATATATATTATATATGTATATATGAAAAATATATCAAAAATGCAAGTGGGTACTCAAATGAAAGATCTCGATGAGTGTAACTTCGGGATGAGCTTATATCTTTAAAAATGTCAATATTTGAGAAATGACCTTGTATCTTGTCAACTATTGACATTTTTTATGATATTAGCTCATTATGATGTTACACTCTTCGAGACCTTTCATTTGAGTACCCACATCAATTTTTCATATAACTAGAATTTGAATTCGCGCGCGCAAGCGCGCGCCTTGACTATAGAGTTTGTATATATATATATATATATATATATGAAAAATATATCAAAAATGCAAGTGGGTACTCAAATAAAAGCTTTTGATGAGCGTGACATCAGAATGAGCTTATATCTTTGAAAATGTCAATAAATAAAAAAGTACAGTGCAATTTAACAAAATTCATAATTTAATAATTCAAAATTTCATTTATCTATACTCCACAAATCACGGAAGTCACATAGTCGCTTGAAGGTTGCTAATAAATATTTATAATTAAAAAAAAATATGTCAAACTACAATTAAATTATCAAAATAATTTTTGTCTCACATTATAAATATTTAAATGTCAAAACTATAACTTGAAAAAAAATTAATTTAATTTAAAAATACTACCACAGTAATCCCCACATTTACCCTAACTTGTACCAAACAATTTTAGTATTTAAGGCCTAGAACACTCAAAACTTTGAAAAGAAAAGAAAAATATTTTGGTATAAATTTTTAGGCGCAGCTCTAAGGCATCTGGATTTTTATTTTATTTTTTTAATTGAACTAGAGTTTTGTGTTATAAATAAATAATTAATTAATAATAAATTTGTCAAGTAAAGTCGCGGATTAGTTTAACTTAGTCTAATCACTATTTCTTTCCAGGAACCACCGAGCTACCTTATACTTGGGTATGACAGCAATTATTTATTATATATTAATAAATAAATAAATAGAATTGTTGAATAGTCGGAAATATAATATACAATAATAAAATTTCGATAATAAATGATGAAGATTAAAATAAAATAAAATTCATTCCTTAATAATGTTAAACTGTAAACTGTGAAATTAACTATTTTTATTATTATTATTATTTTTTGGTGTACTTTTTAACAGCAGTTCTAGATGATTCCAGGGGATTCGAGTCAGTTTTGCAAATGGATTTATTTTTAATGATTAATAATACTTGATATAATTTTAATTGTTACTGAATTTTACATTGTAATTTTTGAGTTGCTATAAAAATTCTTGTACGCTGCGTCAAATCGTTAATCAAAGTCCAAATTATAGAATTTTTATTCTAAAAATTTAAATCGTTTTTCTTTTAATTATTAATATTTAGTTATTAATTTTAATTTTAACTATTTGTTTATTGAGAATTTTTAAACTAATTTATTGCTTTTCCTTTTTACAGATCAGGCAGTGATGGTAACCAGGAGTCACTTAATGACAGGTAAATTTTTATTTTATATTTATTTAAATATTTTATTTTTTATAAAATATTTTTGCACGACTTTTGATGCAAAAAATTGTTAAATTTTTTTGCCTAGATAGATAATTTAATAAAGATTAATTATGTCACTGGTTAAAATCAATTTAAGATAATAGAATCAGAAAAAAATATTAAAATAGTTAAAGAAAAAAATTTGCGTAAAAATTCACGAATTTAATCAGTTTTAATCAAAAATAAAAGTCTAACAATTTAAAAAAAAATTTTTTTTTTTTTAATTCTAAATAAAATTATTTCTAATTAACAATTATAAAAATTAAAGTCTGACTATTAAAGAACTTTTTTTTTAATTCAAAAATTTGATTTCATTTTTTTTAACTAAAGATAAAAATTCAACAATTGAAAAAATTTTTTTTTTCATTGCAAATGAAATTAATTTCAATTAAAAATTATCAAAATAAAAATCTGACAATTTTTAAGAATTTATTATAAATTTAAAAATTTGTTTTCTAAAAATTTTATTTTAACTAAAAATCAAATTTTGACAATTTAAAAAATTGTTTTTTTTTTTTAAATTCAAAATAAAATTATTTTCAATTAAAAATGATTATAAAAATATAAATCTGACAATTTTTAAGAATTTTTTTTTGAATAAAAAAAAAATCATCAGATGTTCAATTCAATCATTTTTTTTTTTTTAAAAGCATCGCGCGATATTTAAAAAAAAAATTTAATAATTATTCCCGTTTTAAATTTAAATATTGAATTATTTTTATTTTTTTTTTTTAAGAAAACTTTTCGTTGGTGGGCTCAGTTGGGAGACCAATGACAGTAAGTTCAATTTTTAATAAATAATTATTTTATTATATTAAATTAATTTAAAGAAATTGAATATGATGAGTTAATCTTAGGACACCTTCAGAAGGCAGTTTGGCACTGTTTTAATGAGATTATTAAAGTACTATTCTGATTCAGTTTTTTTATAATAATTTTTTTTTTTTGTTTATTATATTTGATTATTTATTATTTTTTTTATTTTACAGAGGAATTAAGAGATCATTTTGGTAGCTATGGTGACATTGAAAGTATCAATGTTAAGACAGACCCTAACACCGGAAGATCGCGAGGATTTGCTTTTATTGTTTTCTCTAAAGCTGAATCGTTGGACAAGGTATTATTATTATTATTATTCAATTTTAGTCATTAACATTTATCAAAGTTTCATTAAAAACTAATTATTAAATTTTGAGATAAAAATAATATGAAAATAATTGTTTTGATATTGAGATATAATGTAATTGAAAAAAAAAAAAAAAAAAATTATTTTGATTTTGAAAGACAATAGAGTCAGAAAAAATTAATAATATAATTTTTAAAGTAAATGCACTATTAAAAATTAGTATTATAATTTTGAGAGTCAATTTAAGATGAAAAAAAAATAAATATTTTGATTTTGAAAGTTAATATAATTTTTTAAAAATTATTTTGATATTGACAGTCGATGTAAAATTGAAAAAAAAAATTTTATATTTTTGTAGTGATAATAATTAAATTAAATTTTATATTTTTTTATTGAAAAAAAAAAATTTATTCTAATGGATTGAAATTTTATAAGTAATAAAAAATATTGCTATAAAATTAAAAAAAAAAAATTAACATGATGATCTTAAAAGTCAGTTCTGCTACTGAGTATTATTGACGACAATTAGGCTTCTGATAAAAACAAAAAAAAAAACTATTAAATTAAATTGAAACTTATCCTGACAAAAAATACTAATTAAAAAAAAAAATTTTCAGATTATGGCAGCTGGAGATCACGTGATAAACAACAAAAAAGTAGATCCCAAAAAAGCGAAAGCACGTCATGGTAAAATCTTCGTCGGTGGTTTGTCGACGGAATTGTCTGACGATGATATCAGGAGTTTCTTTGATAAATTTGGCAAAGTAAGCACTGTTACAAATTACAATTAATTTATTCTACTTTTTTTTTATTAAAAATGAAAATTAATTACTAAATAAATAAATTTAAATTAATAGATCGTCGAAGTTGAGATGCCCTTCGACAAAACAAAGAGTCAGCGCAAAGGATTCTGTTTCATTACTTTCGAGTCTGAGCAAGTTGTCAACGAGCTTTTGAAGACACCTAAACAGACCATCAACGGTAAAGAGGTAAGTTGGTCATTTGAGGAATTAAAATAAAATTTATTTAATTAATTATTGGCAACCTTGCGGTCACTGTGTGACTTCCGTGACTTGTGAACTATTAAAAATTAAAATTTTGCTTTATTAAATATATGAATTTTGTTGAATAGTACTGTAATTTTTTAACTATTGAAATTTTTCAAAATATTAGCTCATCCCGATGTTATACTTATCAAGAGCTTTAATTTGAGTACCCACATGCATTTTTGATATATTTTTCATATATACATATATAATATATATTAAATATAAGAAAAATTGATGTGGATACTCAAATAAAAGGTCTCGATAAATGTAACATCAGGATGAGCTTATATCTTTAAAAATGTCAATGGTTGACAAGGTACATAGACTTTTTTTAATTATTGATATTTTTTAAGATATAAGCTCATCTTGGTGTTATACTCATTAAAAGCTTTCATTTGAGTACCCACATGCATTTTTTATATATTTTTCATATATACATATATATAAATAAATGAAAAATTGATGTGGGTACTCAAATGGAAGGTCTTGATGAATGTAACATCAGGATGAGCTTATATCTTCAAAAATGTCAATAGTTGACAAGATACAAGGTCATTTCTTAGTTATTGATATTTTTAAAGATATAAGCTCATTTTGATGTTACACTCATCAAGAGCTTTCATTTGAGTACCCACATGCATTTTTGATATATTTTTCATATATACATATATATAATATATATAAATATATAAAATATATGAAAAATTGATGTGGGTACTCATATGAAAGGTCTTGATGAGTGTAACATCAGGATGAGCTTATATCTTTAAGAATGTCAATAGTTCACGAGATACAAGGTCATTTCATAATTACGTATCTAGAGATATAGCATTTATTTTATTAATAATAACATTTTAATAGGTCGATGTCAAAAAAGCAACCCCGAAACCCGACGGCATGGGAGGCATGCGCGGTGGAGCCGCAGCTGGTCGCGGAGCGGCCCGCGGTGGTCGTGGGGGCCGAGGCCGAGGCTTCGGTGGCCAAGGATGGAGCCAAGGTGGCTACGGAGCCGGTGGATACGGCGGTGGTTACGGACAAGGAGGTTACGGTGGTGGATACGATGGCTATGGTAGTTATGACTATTATGGCGGTGGATATGGCGGCTACGGTGGTTACGACTACACCGGATACGGTAATTCAAAGATTTAATACTTTTATTGTTTTCGTAATTCGAATTTTATTTCATTGAAATACTTTAAATTCTCATTGAGTAAAAAAAAAATTAAAAATAAAATTATTAATAAATATATAAATTATCTTTTATTACGGGAAACAAAATATCTGTTTTTTATCTTTGACATATCGTTCTCTTGGTAGTTATCTTATTTATTATCATTAATTTTTATGATTAATAATAATAATAAGATTTTTTTTATAATTATAATTATTTTAATATATTATAAATGTTCAAATTTATTTTTAACAATTTTATTTTTAATTTTTATTCTTATTCTTATTCTCATTTAACTATTTTTTTTTTCTTTTTTCTCATACTAACACTTTATATTGTTTTGTCTTTTTTTTTTTGTCTTTGGTTAAAAAAAATCAAATTTTCTTTCAATAAAAATTTTGTCAAAAAAATTAATTTTTTTTTTGTCAAAAATAAATTTTTTTCTTAAAAATTTTTTTTTTTTTTAAATTTGTTTTTTCAAACAATTTTTTTCTTCAAATTTTTTTTTTTTCTTACAAAAAAAATCAAATTTTATACAAACACGGTATTTTTTAAAATGAAGTTTTTTTTTTTTTTTTTTTTGTTGTAATGATGATAATGTCAATTGTAATTCATTATTTATTATTATTGTTGATTGTATTTGTTAATACCGTGTGTTCCATGTCATTGAATAACATATGCAGACGGCTATGGCTATGGCGGTAGTTACGACAGTGGCTACAATGGTGGTCGCGGTGGTGCACGCGGTAAAGGTACGCATTAGCGTTCCTTCATCTCTTTTAGTTATTTTTGTTTTTTTTTTCTCAATTTTTTTTTTTTTTTTTCATTAATTTTTCTTCATATTTTTAATTTTTAATTCCAAACCTCATTCCTCAATTTTATAAAAAAAAAATTCGTACCGAAATTTTTGCTTGTACACTCTTCAAAAAATTCTAGGCAACTTTAAAAATAAATCCCAGAATTTTTTTAAGCTTACTAATCCTAAATTAAAAAATACCACACTGACACTTGCCACGTGGTTTATTTTAATCAAACATTTCCCGATAAATTAAGGAGGTTCGAGCGAATCTAATGTAAAAAATAATTTCCAACTTTGAGCTTTGAAATTAAGTATACGTATAAATAAATACGTAATATATCTAATCCCAAAATTTAAAAAAGATTCACCGTTTAGTTACTTAGATATTAAATTAAAAAAATCACATTTTTTATCTCCTTATACACGGGCTCTTATGGCGGACAAACGTTTAGTCGAGACTTTAATTATTTTTTTCAATATTAACCTCCCAACTTTAACGAATAAAAAACTATACACGCAAAACTTGGATTATTGTAAAATATAAAAAAAATTTAATAATAATACATTACCGATATAATTTTCGAAATATTTAAAGTTTAATTTAATGTTTTTGACTGGTTTATCGTCAGCTATTTATTCGAATAAAGATTTGGCAACGTCGCGTCAACAGCTGAGAAAAAACAAAAGGATAGAAATATAGTTACAGAGAGAGAAATATTTAACTGACACACTCATCCACGTCTCTGTAATGGGTATAATCAAACGCGCTGTTGCCAAATCTGTTTATTTAATCCGGCAAGTAATAAATACCAAAGTCATTTTATTACTTTATTTTATTAAATAAGTAAAGATCATCAATTATTAGATTGTTCAAATTATTTTAAATTAAAATAAAGAATTTTGACGAATATTGTGGGAAGACTGAAAGTAAAAAAATTCCTAAAATTAAAAAATAAGTAGTACAGGAAACATTAATCTATGAAATTTTCAAGATTAGAAAAAAAAATAGTTAAATACAAAAATTAATTTGACTCTTGTAAATCAGCTGTTAGTACGCCCTTTCAGCTTTAAGAAAAGTACTACTTAAAGGTAAAAGGGCGCATAAAAAAAATGTAGTTTTGATACCAAATGTTAAATAATAGTTTCACAAGACAAGTTATACTAAAATAACAGCCTCACATACAAAGTTTGATATAAACAAATAGAAAATAAATCAATCAAAAACAAATTAAGTAATAAAAAAAATCACAATGACAGATAACATTGAAATATTTTGAAATTTCTCCCTTTAGTCGCCCTATTGAATATAACTACTGGCGCCGTTCACACAACAGCTGTTTCATCATAATCAACAATCCAGAATCCAAATTTTATAATAACTATTTCTTAAAATAAAAAGCGAGAAAATAATCACGCGTACTTTATTGTTTTTTTGGATATATTTTCTTTTTTAACTTTAAAAAATTGTATTGTTGAGGTTTTACGCTGCTACTACCTCAGAAAGTTTTTTTTTCACATTTTTAAACTACGAATATGTTATTTTGTAAACTGGCTGAAAAAAAAATTATACGCCCTTTCACCTTTAGATCACCAAAATTTCGAATTCTTAAAAGTAAAAAGACGTATAATTAAAGACATATGCCCTTTTACCTTTGCAATTTTTTTTTTTTCAATTTTAAGCATAAAATGTGTCTACTACTCGATTAGCAATAAATAAAATATACGCCCTTTTACCTTTAGGCACTCGAATATTTTATTGCAATAAATGCAACCTGAATATTTCAAAAACCTTATGTTGAATTTTTTTTTTACCCCATTATTCGGTAAAAAATACTAACATTGTTAGAAATTTTTTTTCAAAAAATTTCTACGGTGAAGAATAAATTAAATTTCACTAGTAGATAAATAAGAAGTTCAACTATTAGATAAAAATTAATTTTATCCTTAATCTAATATTTTTTATTTTAACATTGTTGGACCTCCTTAAAAAAGTAAAATTTATTTTGAATTAAAATAAAAGAAATTACGCTCGAACCTCGTTAATCCTCTCACAAAATTTTTTTTTTCACTACACATTGCTTCTTCCTGGCTAAAAAAAAAATTATATTTATTTTTATTAATTTTTTTTATTTAAAAAATTAATTTAAATAAATAAAAACAAAATAGGTACAAAAAAAATCTAAATTAATAATAATTAATAACAAAAAACGTTATTTTTTGGGACACAGCCTACAGCTTACTACCTTAGCCTGTAGCCTCTTTAGTAGTTATTTTAATAATTTATAATTAATAAAATTAATAAATATTACACTTAATAATAAATTAACAATTAGCAGATATCCATCATTATTTTTTTTATTATTTATTTATATTAATTTTACTTCACACTTAGTGTATATCTGCAGAGTATTTTTGTTTTTAATCCTTAATTATTTATTAAAAAAATGAATTAGTAATTTAAATACTTTTTTTTTTTTTCTTTTTTTTTTTCGAACGTAGATGTAGAATTAATAGTTGTAGTAATTGTAATAATATTTACAATTATTTTAAAGAGTTAAATTTTTTTTTCTTGTTTTTGTTCAATTAATAATAATTCTTTATTTTGTTTTATTACTTGTAAAATAATCAACATAAAATCAATTGCATAATGAATGAATTTCAGGAGGCTCAGGCTACGGAGGCAAGCAGAGGGGTGGTGGTGGTCGCCAGAACCAAAGGCACCAACCCTATTAATTTGGGGATTCCGTTTATCGCGAGCTCAATTATGCTGTTTAAATCATTCATTTACCACTGGTGAGTGTCCCCTAATTCTCTGACTATAACTTTATCCTTCTTTTTGTGTCGCCGTTTTTTATACTCATCCGTCACTTGTGTGTATTTAGTTAATAATGTATGTAACTAATTATTTTAATAATTATACTAAAAAAAAATTTATTGTAATTTGTGTTTGAAATAAAAAAAAAATTTTTTTATGAAAAAAATTTTTATATTTAATTGCAATAATTTTTTCACGTAGCTTCAATTAATTAATTGTACTGAACAAAAAAATATGGTGAGAATTTTTATAAATTCAAAATTTTAAAATTATAAGAAAACTTTTTTTCACCTTTAAATAGTTTAATTTCATTTTTAAATATTTATTTTTTTATTAAAAAATAATTGTGCTTATAATATTCAATTTTAATTATTAATTGTCTAATTTAGAATTAAAAATTTTTTTTAACAAAGAAATAATTTTTTCTTGCACTTAAATTTTTTTAAATATAAAATTATGGTCAAAGTGTATTTTATTAAAAAATAAATTTTTTTGCACTTTTAAATTGTAAAATTAAGAGTAGTAAATTTTTGTATTTACTAAAATATTTTTTTTTCTTGAAAAATTTTTTTTTGTACTTGTAAAATATTCAATTTTATTAAATAATAAATTTTTTGCACTTAAAAATCTTTTTAACTTTACAATGATGATTAAAATTTTGTTTTTATTAACAAAAATTTTTTTTTTTGCATTTTTAAATTGTACAATTAAGAGTAAAAAATTTTTTTAACTGAAAAATGTTTTATCTTCCATTAAAATTGTTGAATTTTATTTAAAAATGGTATAATTACACCTTAAAAATTTTTTTTTAACTCACAAAAAATTTTTTCTGCACTATTAAATTTTGAACTTGTAAAATTAAAGTTAGAATATTGTTTTTCACCCAAATTCATTTTCTAACTATTAAATATTCACATTTAATTGCACTAATAATTCACAAAAAATTACAAAAATAATTTTTTAATTAGCTCCAAGTTCAATTCATCCAATTGCACCCTTTTTGATAGCTTTGTTCCAGTTATATAAAATTTCTTATAAACAAACTTCCAGAAATCGCCGATTGGCGCTAGTTGATCTTGGCGCGAAACAATGTAAATTTAAAAAACCCAAGTGCATTTTTCAAAACCAAAAATTTTTTTGCACTTTTTGAATTGAAAAATTAAGCTTAAAAATTGTCTTTTATTAAAAAAAAATTTTATTCTGCACTATTAAATTTTTAACTTATAAAATTGAGGTTAAAAATTTGTTTTTTCCCCAAATTAATTTTTAACTCGTCAAACTTCACATTTAACTACACCAATAATTCACAAAAAAATACTAAAACAATTTTTAAATTACCTCCAAGCTCAATTCGTTTAATTTCACCCTTTTTGATAGCTTTGTTCCAGTCCTAAAAATTTCTTACAAACAAACTTCCAAAACTCGCCGATTGGCGCTAGTTGTTTTTGGCGCGAAACAATGTAAATTTAAAAAAGCCAAACAATAAAAATTGCATGTAATTTGTTAACTATAAAAATAATATTCAAACATAAAATAAAAATTTTTTTTTTTTTTCCAGGTCTTCAAACTTACAGCAAAATACATAATTCATTGAATCATCATTCCATAAAATCATCGCGTCATCAACAAAGCAGACAACTGCCGCAAAATAATTATAACAATCAACAACAAGATTCGCAACATCAAAAGAACCACCAACAAACCAATGTATCATACATGCGTTAAAATTTGTCCGGCCCTAATGACCTCACAATTTATTATTAATATTTAATAATTAATAATTAATAATAATAAATACTGATAATAATAATTAATATTTTTTTTTTAATTGTAAACAAAATTTTTCTTTTTACAATTCAATTATATATCTTAATTTACAAAATGGTTTCCGATTAACAATTTATATTCTTTAAATTGTTTATTAACAATTTAAATGGTTTATTGCGTAAATAAGTTGAGCTAAAAATTATTTTCACCGAATCCTCAATCTTTTGTACAGAATATTTTTCATGCATCATCTTCCCCATTTAATTAATTAATTAATTAATGTTTAATGATACTAAAATTTAAATAATAAAATAAAGTTAAGAGTTAACAAATTAGTTTACGTAATTAGAAAATAATAATTTTTTTTTGTCTACTTTTTTTTTATTTGTCTATTTATCTATTAATAAACAAATAATTACTGTAATTTTTTTTTGTCTTTTTAATTATTATCATTATTAATTATTAATTAATTTTACTGGATATTTTTTATAAAATAGTCTGGAATATTGTGAGTTCAATGAGATTTTTAAACAATTTTTTCTAATTGTTTAAATTTTTACTACGTTTATTTAATTAGAATTGTAAGCTAATGAACAAATTAATAATAAATATGTAGTAATAAAATTATTAAGTATAAAACACGTTTTTTTTTCATTGTTCGTGAGGTTATAGGTTAGAAATTTTTTTTTTATTAATTATTTAATTTAAACAAAAAGAAAAATTTTTTTTGGGTTCAAAAAATTATCTAGATAAAATTTTGAAAAAAAACTTTTTTAATATCTTATTAATTCTCGGAGAAAATCACCTTTGTTTCAAAACAATTTTTTATTGTTCATAGAACTTAAGCGCCACCTAGAAGTTTGTTTTGAAGTAAGTTTAAGCGCCAATTTTTAAATTTTTTATTAAAGCAAAAATTAAGCGTGAATTTACTATAGGAAGATTAAAAATTACAACAAGATGGCGTTAGGGTAAATTAAGCTTGAAAAATTTTTTTTTAGTTTGTGGCGCACTCATGCGGCAGAATTAGGAACTATATTACCCAGAATTCCTTGCGAGGTGCTATATAAGGCATGGATTTACTTGAATAGTTCTTTTGGGTATCTGGCAGTTACAATAATAAAAATAATTTTTAAACATATTTATTGTTAAATGTTTAACAATAAGTTTAAAACTTAACACGTGGTCAATGAATTTAATTAACTCAATCACATGTTCACATTACATAATAAATTGGAGGGATAAAAATGGCTGACCGTTATATTAAGTAAGTTTTTTTTTTTGTAAAAATTAATTTTTTAATTATATTTGTGAAAATTTAGATAAAATAGCAACCTTGCAGTCACATAGTGACTGCCGTGACTTGTGAACTATAAAAAAATTAAAATTTTGTATATTTAAATAATGAATTTCGTTAAATTGCACTGTACTTTCTTAAATATTGACATTTTTAAAGATATAAGCTCATCTTGATGTTATACTCATCAAGAGCTTTCATTTGAGTACCCACATGCATTTTTGATATATTTTTCATATATACATATATACATATATATAATATATATAAATATATGAAATATATGAAAAATTGATGTGGGTACTCAAATGAAAGGTCTCGATGAGTGTAACATCGGGATGAGCTTATATCATTAAAAATGTCCATATTTCACAAGATACAAGGTCATTTCTTAATTATTGACATTTTTTATGAAATAAGCTCATTTAGATGTTACACTCATCAAGAGCTTTCATTTGAGTACCCACATGCATTTTTGATATATTTTTCATATATACATATATATAATATATATAAATATATGAAATATATGAAAAATTGATGTGGGTACTCAAATGAAAGGTCTCGATGAGTGTAACATCGGGATGAGCTTATATCATTAAAAATGTCAATATTTCTCTAAAAAATAACCGATTTTATTATATGGCTATCTTGGAAAAAAAGTTTTTCTTTTTTTCTTAAGAATATAGATAAAGTAACATGATGATTTATCTTAGGACACCTTCAGACAACAGAATGGCACTGTTGGATGAGACTAAAAAGATTTAATAAATTCTGATTTTTATTTTTTGGATATTAACATTTTTTTGTAATAAATTTTTGGTATAAAATTAATTAGTATTTTTCTTTTTTGCAGGAAAATTTCAAAGAAATTATTTTGAGTGAAAATTGACCACGTGTCTCTAGCATAGAATTGTTCATGGGTTGACCACGTGGCGATGGATTGATAAGTTTTATGTAAGTAATGGTAATTTTTTTTTTTTTTAAGTATTAGAAAAGTATAAAAAAAATTTAATTTAATTAAAAAAATTTTTTAATAATTTTAAATGATGATTTTTAAAGTCAGTTCTGCTACTGAGTATCATTGACGACAATTAGGCTTCTGATAAAATTATTTTTTAAATAATTAATTATTTTCTAAATAAAAATATAAACTAATAATATTTTTGTTATTTTCTTTTTAATTTTAGATTTTTCTACAGAGAAGTTAATCATGTGAAACATGGCGGCAAAGAGGAAGCGAAATTTTAAGAATTTTAATTTAATTTAACATCAAATGACTAAATTGTGATAAATATGTCAGTAATAAAATTACTGAAGAAAATATTTATTATTTTTAATTAAAAATATTAAAACATTAAATTTTATATTTATGTTAAAAATAATTTAAAGAAAATAAAATTTAATCATTGTAAAATTAATTGTTTTTTTTTTTATTTATATAAAATTCTGTAATTATGTAAATTTTTCCGTACTTGTAAATAATAATTATATTCCTGCTATTTTATTAATATTTTTTCTTAAATTCAAAAATTAATTCTGATTTTGAAATTTAAACTTTAGAAAATTTTTAATGAATTGCAAGTAATTAAAAAAAAAAAAATTCTAATTTAGCAATTGAAAAATTTATAAATAAAATTTTTAAAGTAATAGGCAAAAAAAAAATATCTTGTAGAAATTTTAGAAAAATTAAAAATGCAATTTTTTAAAAATATTTTTTTTTAACAGATTTGTTTGTTAAATAAAATTAAAAAATGACTAAGCACCTTTAATGTAAAAAAAGAGATCCACGCAAAGTAGTAAAATTTTTAAAACTTCCTAAAAATTTGTAAATTCAATCTACGTAGCCTAATAATAAATAAAAAAAAGTTTCCGAGATATTTAATAAAATAATTAGGTTTTAAAATTGTAATTTTTACATGTGAATGGAGATTCCACCAGCCGTGTATTTGGTTAAGAATTTAATGCAATTAACGATTTAAAAAGAATTTTATTCTTATTGAATTTGATTGAAAAAATAATAAGCTAAAGATTAAAACAATAAAAAAAGTAGCTTTCCGAACGTATTACGGAGATATTTTATATTTTTTATGAAAAATCACTCGGACACTTGCGTTCTTTAAAGTCTTGTATTTGACTTGGCAACACCGCTTGCGCAGTTACCCATGCGCATAAATAACCGCGGTTTTTTAAATGCTAGGAAGATCTTAGTCATTTTAATTAGACAGTAAACATAAATAAATTTTAAAGTTAGGGACACTCTTTTGGTTCTGTCAAGTGTATACCGGTAATTCAGAGTGCTAGATTTTTTACGAGTCAATTAAATGTCAATAATTATTTAATGAGTAAATTTATCGGAAATTACCTCAAAAATGTTATTAATTAATTTAAAAATTAATTTTAAGATAACAAAAGTATTTCTACGTATTTTTTTATAGACATATTCTATGATAATAAATTTAGCAGATATTTAATAATTTTTAGAATTTTTTTAACAGCCTAGGGTAAATGCACCAGTTGTTGACCGGTCACCAATTAGTTGACCGATGTATAAAAAAATTAATTAATTAATATTTTACAAGGGATTTTTTTTTTCTTAAAGTATTAAAATCAAAAAAATATGGCATTTAATCACATAATAAAAAATTACGCAATTAATTGCGCAGTGATTATAGCTTTAAAAAAATATTCTGAGTTTGTTTACAACGCAACCAGCCATAAAGCGGTCAAAAATAACTAGCGTACAATTATTGGAGAGTGAGTGCATTTCATCATTAATTTAGTGATATTTATCGGCATAATATAAAATATTTTAATTTTATTATGTCTATTAATGATCAGATTCCAACTTTTTTGAAAAAATAAAGTTAAATTATAAGTTTTAATATTATTTTAAGACCGGTCAACTATTGGATCCGTCAGAAGCCCATTACCCAGTAAAAAATTCATTCGGTCATTTATTAGACCCTCTGATTTTATCACAATCCAATTAATCACCGTATAATTATAATAATAACTTCTTAACTCCAAAATTAAATCTGTCAAGTGTTTAAAGTACTTAAGTCATTCAATATTTTGTAAATATAAAAACAATCATTATAAAATGTATATTTATAATTAAAATAATAATTAAAATCTTTTTTGATTATTAAATTTTATTTTATTCTAATTTTTTTAGTGAACGGTTACATCAAAGAACGAATTATTAGAAGAAAAAACTGCTAAGCAATTAAAAAAATAAAAAAAGAGTTACAAGCTAGTAAAAAAGCTTTAATTAAAAAAAAGAAGGAGAAGAATAAAAAAATTTCAAGTGAATCAGAAGAATTATCATCATCAAAATGAATTTGTGATTATATGTGACCTAAAGAAATGTGACTTTACGTTAATTATTGCTATTATTTATATTATTTTATAAAAAAGTACAATTTAAAATTATATTGTATGTTTAGTTTTGTTAAAGATCTCGTTAATACTTCAAAAGTACTGCATAAATTTAATTACATAAATGTAGTTTACAAAATTACTTATAATTATTTAAGCGGTCAATTAATTGGAGAACGGTCGGTCATTAATTGGGTTTCTTCGGTCAATAATTGATGATTTCAGTATTTCAAGATTCAAATAACAAAATTAATATAATTTTGTCAATTTTTATTATAAATAGTTATTAATTATTATTAATTAAGTATTCAACTTTAATAAAATCCATTA